CCCCAAAACCCCAAAACCCCAAAACCCCAAAACCCCACTACTTATAATAATTTTTGAAATTTAACAATGGATGTTGAAATTATGAATGAAATCTTGACTCTAACAGTCAGCAAGCTCTTTGTGAGACCTTCTGAGAAATCATCCTCAGCAATGAAGGATGCAACCATTGCTGAGAAAGCCAACGCCACTTCTGGAAGTGAGATGATTGCAGAAATGAAGTCCAAATTCACACAAGAAAATGTTGATAAGAAAATCGAAGATGACTATAAGCCTGGGTAAGCTATTATCAATTAACAATCTCTATCAACAGAGATCAGCTAAATTCTTTGCTTCAAGGGTTAATTTCTTTATAGATGTATGGACCTTGAGAGATGGATCAGCATTGAAGGCCCTAAAAGACTTGAATCTTCCCTGAAAAAGCTTAGGTTAAATATGATTGGAGTTAAGAGAAAAGATTTCAAGACCTATACAGAAGATGAAATTCATCAAGAGAAGAGAAACGTAAAGAACGAACTTAAGTATTACGATAGCGCCTTTATTAAAATTTTTGCAAGACCACCAGCAAGAGAGGACAAGGAGCCAATGAGACCACTTTATATGTATTACCAGAATCTAAGAAAAGCTATCCAGAAGAAAGCTTATGCTAAAGGATCCTCTGATAATGGGAAAAAGTCGAGACCTTCATCTGTAGATAGTTCCGGTGGATTCTCAGTGGGATCTGTCACCTCCAATATTTCAGGCTCAAGTATTGGAGATGCTATCCCTGAAAGCAAGGTTGGGGTATCCACCTCTAAATTCCCATTCACCGAAGAAGAAGCGAAGAAGGGTCCTCCACTAGAACTAATGGCAAGAATGGGCATGGATAACGAGAGAGATCTCAAAAAGCAGATCCATGACTTTATGAAAGAGAGGAAGCACTTGAGGAAGGTTCTAGACATGTTCCAAAAAGACTTTCTCAAGACATACAACAGAAAGCTCCGCTTCACTAAAGATATATCACCTGTAGCATCTGAATTTAAGAGATATAAAGAGCTTAAAAAGGAAATAGCTAAGTTGGAGAACATTCTAACCAACCTCAAAAAGAAGTCTGTAAAATAACAAGAATATAGTTCAATTGAGCTAATATCTGATGGGGTTTTGGGGTTTTGGGGTTTTGGGGTTTTGGGG